CATTTTTTGGCTGCGGGGAGTCCGCACCATGGCGGCGGCAGCAGTGGCAGCGTGGGCGTGGGGTGCGGACTGGCCTTGGTGGGGAAACCTCGTGATCATAGACAGGAGATGAGATATGGGACAGGATTTTTTTTAATAATCAGATGGAGCGGGCGAGCCGGGACAATGTCCGCCTGTAACGTTTTCATCTCCGTGCCGCTGCCTGTTTAAAAATCGCTGTGTTGTTTACAAAAGGAATTCAAATAGATTCTTGTGCTCATGCTGCATGAGTGCATTTTTTTTAAACCCACCACCTAGGACGTTTGCTTCACGTTGTTTTCACGAGAGCGCCGCTCTGCTTAATTAGTCTGCACTCAACACGTTTTGCTTTTCTCTCCGCCCGTGAAGGGGGCTTATGTCAGCAGGTAAGGCTCACTGCTAGGAGCTACCCCAGGACTGAAATTGCACAAACACCCTCCCAAACTCATCAGCCTGGGGTTAACGAAACTCTCCCGCGCAGGTGTCCCTTACCGATGAACCTCTGCAAGCTCTCACCTGCTTAAGCGACGGACGTTGATTTATATTGACCCCGCCGGCGTGTGCGCGCGTGTCTGTGGGGAACTCTAGTTGCTGAGAGGCCCGATCGTCGATGACTCAGTAATGATTATTGGGCGGCCGCGATGACTTTGGGAGTGTCACGGACACGCTGGCTCCGCGCGCGCACGGGCGTGCATACAGATGCAGTGGTCACATGGCTCCGTGCAGATCTGTGATTGGTTCTTCTCCATTCTATGGGAGAAGGGGACAGGGGGCTTGTTCTCTCCCCCTCGTCCCATAAAACAATATCTGCATGAGATGTTTGGAATTGGGCCAAACATCGAATGCGGGATCATCGTGTAAAAACAAGTCTTGAGGCTCAGTGAGACTCTTTTGTATAAATTGCAATATTATCGTGCAGTAAAGTGTACAGGCATAAACAAGAACCCACCTATAGTAATGTGACACGTGCTATTGAGAGAATGGGTTCCGCCATATGAATGTAGTATTTTGCACCAATAGCTAAGCTTCACCTCTGGACATTACCACCACTCAATGCGAGATTGAGCTTGGAGACTGATTCGTTTTACTGGCACATGATGTCGCATGCAGAGAGACGTGTGTGTTGTACAATCGATGTCGATCATTCCTAGTTCACGTATTTCTCTGCAGAAGGGTCATTGCTTGACACCTTGACCTATATAGTCTGTGGCAAAGCAGCCATAATGTCGATCGGTGTGAGTGGGGATTTTTTTTTATTACTGGCACTGTAGTACGTATACTGTCTGTCGAGGTCAAGAGGTCATCACGGCCAACGCCGTAGATGCCTCCACAGCTCGCCGTCCCTTCATTGTAGTCCACAACACCAGCCCAGGTATCGCTCTCGATGGTACCAGCTGAGGTGGCTTCATTCTAGCGGCCAATAGCGGTGAGCAATGTGATAACCCACTTCTCAGTAAATCCACTCTCATCAGCCACGTAAGTAAATCAACACGAGGAACCTGTCGCTACCTCCGGTGGTACCAGCGTCTGCTCGGGCCCGTGGACGAGACTACAGTCTGTCCTCCTGCAACGCGGTGGGAGTTGCGTTCCTCAAGAACACCGCGTTGTGGAAACATCACGTTGTAATATATAGGGTAAAGCACAGTCCGCGATAACACGTGAGATGCGTACGCAGGCTGGACAAAGATTGTGGCGCGTGGGTAGCATCTAGAAGCATCCAGCAGCATCCCAATGCCTTGTGTGATGACGCTATGCCGAGGCAGCCGTACGATCGATTTTTTTCTACCCTCGCGACGAAGTTCTGTTCGCTCGATCGCGTTATACCCAATTCGCATCCGCGCTATAAAAAAGAAATGTGTTCCCTAAACACATTATAGCATAACAGACTGTGCTTCCTTCTGCCAGATGTGGCAGCAATCGCACGGGGTGAGCACGCGGCTGGCAGGCACATCGCTCAGACTTGTGCTTGTGCGCACGTCAGTGAGACTGCACTGTCATCAACGCGACCAACATTCGTCGTGCTAGATCGCGTACGGCGCAACTGTGTCGTGCACCCACCTCCACCTGACACGGCCAAGTCGTAAGCTTGTCACGTGAACAGAAAACAGGCCAAGTGCTTGTCACGACACTCTTCCGCGATCTAAACCCATAAACTTTGCCGTGAATCAACGCGACCGCGTTCAGTGTACGTGCACGCAAACGCACGTAGACGCACAAACACAAATGTAGAAGCGCACACAACGAGCTCTGCATAATGATGCAGCAGCGTCTTTATGTATCGCTGCGTGCACGGTTTATAGGGCACCGTACATGCATAATTTATCTTCGCGTTGCAAGTTTATCTCGTAAGAACCAATTTCTCGCCGTCTCTGGTGACATGTTGCTTCTGACGTCTGCACACGAGATGCTCTTGCCGATAGTCAAACGCTAACATTTATTATTTGTGTGCGCTCTAAAAGTTCCTTTAATTTCACGTTTCGTCGAGGTTGCCACGGGTGTTGTAATGGATTAGCTCTGCGCAGGCGAGGCGCGGCCAACGCCTCAATATGGACGACTCCTCAGTGTTGTCATTTCCACCGTGGATGGCGTCGTCTTCGTGTGATGCCCAGCGGCGGCGATGTCACCCGTGGGGGTTTGTTTTGCCCTGCGTGCGGATCCCCGAGTCCGAGGCGTTCGCCCTCTTCCCGGAGAGGTCGACCGCTCTCGGGCCGGTGTCCACCACCGCCAGCGACACCCTGCTCACGTCCACCAATCAACCCGCACCCCCCGCTCCTCGTGCGTCGATCGCTTCCCCGACCTTCTTCATCCACCCACTCTCCCTCCCGCCGCTCGCTCGACCGCGCACGCACGAGGCTCACGGGCGCATGCATAATCACGCGGACGGACATCGCTGGCAAACGTGCGCAATCACACGCAGCCACGCAAGCTCACGCAGCGATGCTAGCATACACAATCACCCATAGCCACACGTGCACACACAATCACGCATAGGCAAACAAGCATACACAATCACACATCGCTTCGCAATCACACATGGCTACGCGAGCACACACAATCACACATGCACACACAATCACACATCGCTCCACAATCACACAGCCACACGAACACACACAATCACACATGGCCACACGAGCACACACAATCACACATAGCCACACGAACACACATGGCTACGCGAGCACACACAATCACACATAGCCACACGAACACATACAATCACACATCGCTCCACAATCACACATGGCCACACGAACACACACAATCACACATCACTCCACAATCACACATGGCCACACGAACATACACAATCACACATGGCCACACAAACACACACACAATCACACACAATCACACATGGCCACACGAACACACACAATCACACATCGCTCCACAATCACACATGGCCACACGAACATACACAATCACACATGGCCACACGAACACACACAATCACACATGGCCACACGAACACACACAATCACACATCGCTCCACAATCACACATGGCCACACGAACATACACAATCACACATGGCCACACGAACACACACAATCACACATCAAAGATCAAAGATCCCCCGTATAGCCTTAACAGACTGTAGGGGCAAGTGCTGTTAGCGAGCACCTATGAAGGCCGCAACGGTACACGAGGGGGTGGGTGGCCAGCACCACGCCCGACCGCCTTTGTCTCCCTAGTGGCACAATGTTTATACACCGCACCAGGTACTCATTTGAGGCTGAGTCGACCTAGGGGAGGCCCGGGACCGGTTCAGATAATCGTCACTGGTGTTGGCCGTGAGCGGGAATCGAACCCGTGTCACCGGGTTCATAGCGCAGCGCGCTAACCGCTACACTATCGCTCCCCACACAATCACACATGGCCACATGAACACACACAATCACACATCGCTCCACAATCACACATGGCCACACGAACATACACAATCACACATGGCCACACGAACACACACAATCACACATAGCCACACGAACACACACAATCACACATCGCTCCACAATCACACATGGCCACACGAACATACACAATCACACATGGCCACACGAGCACACACAATCACACATGGCCACACGAACACACACAATCACACATGGCCACACGAACACACACAATCACACATGGCCACACGAGCAAACACATTCACATGAACACGCATGTCGAGTGCTCGTGAACGCGACAGAACACTTTGGTCTTCACGCTCATCGGAATGGGGAGTGGTGCACACCGCTCGCGCTGCGCGTGGCCCCTTGTTCCACTGTGAATTTGGGATTACTCAATCCATCTGTGGGGCGCTTTGTGCGTGTATTATTTTCTTAAAATTTCCTCTCTCGTCCAAAACACTCCATAGCCAAACGCTGCGAAGGCGGGACCCTCGTGAAAGAGAGGTCTTGAGACTCGCCGATGCTTTCCAGGGCATTATTATTGAACTGTATCATGTGATTTTTTTCACGGGTGGAGTAGTGGCACAGTGCATAGCGACCTGAATTTCATTCCCGGCCACGGCTAACATCAGTGGTGAGTGAACTCCAAACCGGCGCTGGGCAGCCACCATCACCGAACCGCACTAACCAGCAGGGCGCAAAGCGAGCAACCCCCATAACTAACACAGCATGGGGAGGCGTTCATCCAGCAATGGAGTGGCAAAGGACTGTGCAATAATATAATGTTGCTGCTCACGACGAGAGCAGCAACGCCGCAGAGGCGTTGCTGCTAAGCCCTCTCGCCGCCGGTCTCGGCTCACGCGATCGTCGTCGCACTGTACGCAGAGAGGGCGGCTGTGATCAATCGGACGATTCATTCGTTGCGTGTCTTTTGCCCTCTGCTCCCACCGCCTCCCTCTCCTCTCCGCTACCCCGTACATCCCCCTCCCCCCTCCGATTCTCATCTTCTCTCCCCAAACTCCCCTACCATCCCCTTCCCTCCTTTCTGGTGCCCCCCCCCCCCTCTCCTCCCACCGGCAGGTGATTATCCTGGAGGATTACGCCGACCCCTTTGATGCCGAAAAAAAATCCAAAGGGCAGAAGAAGGACGAGGCCGGCGCCGAGAACGACGGCTACATGGAGCCGTACGAGGCGCAGAAGATGATTAAAGGTACCGGTGCGTCGCTGCCGCGTGGCCGGCGTGACGATGGCGTCCTGGCAGGCCGCGGGGCCGCGTCGCACCGCGGCCGTCATCGCCGGGCAATCGGCCGTTTTTCGTTTCGTGGCGACGCTTACATTAACTCTCTCCCTCGCCGCTTATCGCGGAAGCAGCGAGGGAGCCCTGAGCAACCGCCGAGTCCCTGGCACTCCGATAAAGGTGGTTACATCGCGTGGGGGCTCCCTCATCACCCACCCCCACCGCCAGCCCCCCACCGCCCCCCAACTGGCATTGAATCTCCCCGGTCCGTGAAGTGACACCCGCCGCCGATGCCCGCAGGCCTCCCCCGCCGACGCTCGTTGAGAATTCCCATCTGCGACGCGTGTGCACACACGCTGCGCTGCATCGACGCGCGTGCTTCTGTCAAAACGTGCAGATTTCACGGCACTTAATGGCACGTTCACGCCAACACCAACAGCGCCAATGGCCCGTGAATGTCTGCGCATCTGGCTACCCACTCCTTGCCAATTGAACGAGCGAGCGAGGGTCGACCGGGTGGAGTGACCGAGTGGGTAGGTTGGGGATTGATTGAGCGAGCGGGTCGGGGATTGGGTGGGCGAGCGAGAGAGCGAGCGAGCGAGCAAATGGGTGAGGGAGTGAGTGACCAAGCCGGCGAGAGAGTGCGTGAGCGAACGAGTGGTTGGGCGAGTGAGTAGGTGAGCAAGCAAGTGAGCCTCCTCCGTTTCTGTCGAGTGAATGGGGGACCCTTCCACTTTCACGGCCTTCGTTGGGGAAACCTGCAAGCAGGAGCGGGAGGAGAAGCAGCGGAGGGGATGGCGGGGAGGGGAGTTGGAGCCGCGGGCGACCTCAGCCGAGCAACCAAACGATGAGAAATGTTCGCGGTGGCATTCTCAATGCCGCCCTCGCGCGCCGCTGTCATAAATTCCCCGTGACCTCTGAACCCAGAACTTCGCTTCCTCCGCCGCCCGGTCAGTCCCGGCCGTGCATGCGGCGTGTCACGCCGCGAGCGCCGCGAGCCCGCTCCGCCATCGCTGAGTCGACCCCCCTCCAACCCCCCCCCCCCACCATTCCCGACCATGAGCGGCGAGCAACGAGCAGAGAATAGCGAGCGTCTGCGCAAATATGGAGCGCGCGGTCGCTCCACATCACCATTTTCACTGCACTACTTTTGCCGCTTTAAATGTTTTCTTTCATTGCTTTTGTTTTTATTATTTTTATGACCGTGCTGTCCCATCAATCGCAAATCGCTCCGCCTCGGACGCTCGGCGTTATTTCTCTTGCTGCCGTGGCGAGGCTCCGTCGCGCCCGCTGATGCGACAGTGATTTCTCTGTCCCACCTGCTGTGCCCCTACCCTTGGCATTCTCATTTTGTTTTTTATTTGCAGCGCAAGCGAGCAGTCTCATAACCCGGGCGGTAAACCAATTACCGTAAGGTCAGCACCCCCCTTCATCAAAGATGCAACCTTCTCTTTAGGAGCTCCCTTAGCTATCCCCCCACCCCGCCCCCCTCCTTTGCTAACCTCTCTCTTAGAGCCCCCAAACAACCCAACTCGGGCACTCCTGGACTCCATCACCTCCCCACCTTCCCTCCTCAATATTTCACATCCTGCTGCCACTGTCCCTCCAGGACATCGTCCATCAGGCGGCCCGGGCGCCCAGCGCGACGCGAACCAGCGTCTGCTGACACTCGACCCCCGCTCAAACGCCCCCACCCCCCGTGCCCCCATCGTTTCTCCGTCCCCTTGAGCCCAGCTTTCCGCACCAACCCTCCCTTCCGCCCCCAACCCCCACCGCCCCTCCCCTGCCCGTATTTGGTGAGCCCCTCTAACCGGGCTGTGCCGGCGTGCTCCCTCGTCTGGCGGGGGGGGGGGGGTTTGGCGGCAGCTGGCCGCTCGGCGCCGAGTTTATTAAACGGCTGCGTGGGCCGAGTTGTCGTCTGGGCGAGGCGGCGAGCGATGGAGAGAGCCGGGGGCGAGGCGACGCATGCGGGCCTCCGTCTCTCGCCTGAGCGGCCCCCGGCAGCCGCAGCGGCAGCAGCACTCATGGCGAGACGCATCCTGGATGTGGCGTGCCGGGGCCAGACGTGTGCTTGTGGGTCGCCGACCCGGACGGAGCCGGCTGAAATTAAGCCCCAGACGCATTCCTGTGCCGTGTGACGATTTGTTTTGAGAATCCCCTGCGAGCGGCGCACACGGATCGGCGCCCGGAGGTCGTGGCCCCGGGGGCCGTCCTCGTGCCAGACGGTGGACGACCGTACGAGCAGCTGTCGGATGTCGAGCATCGACTTTCCAGCAGCTGCGGGACTCTGGCACGAAGAAGGAAGCGACGGCAAAGTGACCACATGCAGTGCAGCCCGGCACACCGTGTCCCGTAGACGTCTCGCTATGGCTGCGGCCGCTACTTGCTGTTCACGTGGCCCGCTACTCCAGTCCGCACGGCGGCCCGGAAAAATGTACGGCGACGAAAAACATTGGAGAATGGTGTCGTTGCCGGGAACTCGAATGTCAACAATGACCGGGTGCATCCAAGACCGATTTCGTGCCACGTGAACGTAGACGCGCACGTGAGCAGCGCGCAAACAGTCACGTGCCAACGTCGCCCCCCTCGGCTTCCTCGTTCCTAGCTCGGCGATGCCGGGGAGGGGGTGGCAGAGGGGGAGAGGGGGCTGCCGGGTGGCACAATTCCCACCGCAGGTGTTGCGTTAGTTGATTTGCGTCTCCAGCCAGCTCGCAAACAACGCCTCTCGGCAATCCGTTCCGCCCGCGCGGCATTGCGAAGGTTCAGGGGGGGGGGGCGTCCGTCTCCCCGCCCGCCGCCGTCCTGAGGTGCAGCGGCGCGAGAGCGTGTTTCCGTCCCGGTGTGTGCCGTTTGACATTTATTTTACATAAACACGAGCGGAGTTGTTTACTTTTGAGAGAGCATCGCGTGATTTGCGCGGAGGCGCGACCTCCACGTGAGGTGCGGGTGCGCGATGGCGTGACCCCCCCAACGTATTTAATGGATTTGCGTCGCCGCATTTCAGAGCTGTCGGCTCGGCGCTGGGTAATGGTGATCACTGGCCTCGCCCGGCTCCATCCGTCTCTCCCCTTCCGCGTGCTCCCCTTTCGCGCGCTCCCCCGGTCACCGCGACGCTCGCTCACCTGCTACGTCTGAACAGCGACGAGAACGTCAACAAACGTGACGATACGAAACACAACGAGCAGAATTAATCCAGCAGGGCCGGACGGGCGAGCATTCCGCGGGAGCAGCGTCCGCCACCCCAGATGCGGAAGAATGCCGGAAATCGGAGCGTCGGGGCCGGTTAGATCATCGGGGGGGCGGGGGTCGTGACAGCTGAGCAGCCGGACGGGAGATGCGGCGGCGCCTCCCGCACCGCCAACCCCGCCACCGCCGCCACCCATCACTCCCTGTCTCGCCTGTGGTTTCGCCGAGGCACGCCACCCTCATTCGCGGGTTCTGCTTCGGTGAGTGAGCGAGCCTCATCAGCAGGCCACAACCGCTCAAGCCGCCACTGGCTGCCGATGTGACTCGGCCAAGTTGAAAACTTCTTCCAGTGACACTTTCCTGGAGAAATTGAGGACATTATTGGTGTTGTTGTTGTGCATCAATGACAAGAACGCTCTCACCATCTTCATCTCACTAGACTCGCCTTCACGAGCTCTCCGCTCTGGCAACTGGGCCTTCCTGTCAACTCTCAGCCAACCTTCACTCACTGAGGGCCCTGCTGTGTGGGGATGATTGACAAATTACATACTAACGAATGTGTTTGAGCAGGCAGGAGCTGTTTATGCACGAGCCGCCGTATCAGCAGCTGCACAGCGTTGCCATATCAGCAGCTGCACAGCGTTGCCAAGGCTCCCCACTGCAAACTTGGCTCGGCAACTACGATTCAATTGCAGTTATGTCAATTTCTTTGTGGTTGTCATACGCAATAGACATTTATCTGGCATAGGAATGTGTAATTTCCCCCTTCCTGCCACTGGCTCAGGACAATTAACAGGAGATGAGCACTCCTTCAATGTTCATTAGAGCAGGGATCTCACTTTACTATTCATTGCTCAAAAGAAGATCCATTACCCCGATTGCCAGCTAAATATTTATAGTCTCTGCTCTGAGAGGGAGTGTAGAGGCATGGCGGCGGTGTCGCTTCTGTCCCTCTGTGCCGTGCGCACACACAACGCTGCCAGAGTGCTCCCTTGTCTATGTTGACGCAATGACACATCCCTACGTAACCCGCACATTTTAAACAAGACGACGACGATGACGATGTCAGCAAAGCACCGCTGGAGTCGGTGGAGATGTCGGGTTGGGTGGTGGGGGCAGGAAAGGCGGGGGGCGGTGGTGGCATTGGTGGAGGCGGTGAAAGCCGGACATCTGTTTTCGATTAATTCTCGTCGCCAAACGAGAGAGAATTAGTAAAAACAATCGGACCGCATTGAGCAGCAGCAGTGGCAGCAGAAAAGCGCAGCTCATTGTCGGCGTGATGAGTTTGCCGGCCGGCGAGAGAGCCACGATTCAGCGGTGGGGGGGGGGGGGGGGTCACCTCCCCGCGTGTCCCCCGGGTCACGTGCGTGCCCCGTGCCGGGCGCCGGCTCGGACTCGCTGGCTACCTCGCCGCTCCAACCCCAAAACCCGGAACGCGACCCTCGACCGCGCACAAAGCGTGCGCCCTGCGCCAGGCAACGCACGGAGGGAGCGCGAGTCGCCCCGTCGCTGGGAAGTTAGTAGAAACAGGATTAATAAGAAGAATAAAAATGCTTTCATTTAATATTGCGTCATTCATGCGAATAGCTTCCCAGAACGCCTTACATTCGTTATATATAAGGATCAAATTCCAAATACAGCCACTACTACCAAGCCAAATAAAAAATGTATACACACATGAAGGCACCAAAACAAAAAGCACAAACAGAAAAAAGTGATCGCAACAAAGATGATCGCGGCCACTAGCGCTGCTGCCTCTGTTTCCCGTCTTTATCAGGACTCGTGAT